AGTAAAAGGTTAAGGAAATAATTATCATTCACCAATTAGCAGAAAACAGAAATAAAATCAGGAAAGCTCACTACACTTGTTATCCATTAAAAATATGTGTATGCACCAAATGCTGCACACCCTATTTAATCAAGTAATTCTTAAAATCAAACTGATACTTGAAAAACAAAGTTTAATCTCTCTGCATCTCAAACTGCAGCTCACAACCACTCATCATGCAAGAAAGTATTTTCTTACTAAGAGGATGGCCAAAATATCTGTCAGCTCAAGTCCCTGAATTTCCCTCTCCAGTTTGGACAACAGCACACCTTAAAAAAACCCCAAACAAACAAAAAAAAATTAAGCATACAAGGCAGCCTGCCTCTGCTGCAGTCAACACTCACACACACAAGAACCTCAGTTATATTTAAGTAACTAACTGTGAAAAACAAACTCTGCATTGTTTTCAACGCTGTAATCTATATAATACTAGCTGTCCAAATTCAAACTCACAGGACTGAATAGCTGTTCAAATTCAAACCTATAGGATTGACTGTTGCTGCCTTTACAGACTAGGATGAGTATGTTCCTAATTCATTTTTACACCTAATGTTTTGATTGCAACACATCTGAATCCACTGAGAGCTATAAATGCTAGTAAAGCTCTGCTCAAATTGTGCTCCAAGAATATATGGATTTTTATCTATTTACTGTAAAAATACATAACTGAAGCACCACAAATTCAAAATAAACTTTTAATAATGTTTTTAAATTGGTTTTTGCAACACCAAAAGCTCACAAAAGCAAACAGACCTTTATGCTCTGAAAAAAAAAAAAAATACAGTTTTTTTCCACGCATATACTAAGCCAGCCACTACAAACATCTGCAATAAGGACTGGGTGACCAGCTCTTTGGCCACAACGTGACCACTGACTGGACCGACACAGTGGGGCCAGCACTGGGGTCACCTTCAGAGCCTCCTCCTCTGAAGCAGTGAAGGACAGACCGCTGACAGAGACGTGCCTCTCCTGAACTCCAGGCCAACCTCAAGGCTTCTTGGAGGACGACCTTGTGCAGAAGACCAGGCTGAGGCCCTTCCCAGCCATCAGACTGGGAGGAAAAGCATCCTCAGCAATGCAAAGCCTGACGTTGGTGCAGCAGAGGATTTTGCAGACAGACAGGGCTTTTGCTCTTTTGTTTGTTGGGTTTTTTTCCTTGTAAGTCTTGAGATAAACTTAATCAATGCTGCGTGCAGTTATACCTACTTGCAGGCAGCAAAACTGCTAAGTACCACTTCTAATATGCCCTCCACAGAAAATATTCTTAATTTTGTTTCCTTAAAGGCTGAAACTGAACTCAGGTTTGCAAAGCAGCCACATATACAAATTTTCCCCTACCCTAAGACATTTTTAATAACCATAATCCTAAAAGAGGTACAAATTCAAAGTCTCTTTTTGTGCTTTACAACCTTAAATCCTTGTACAATTCATACAGTGTTCTTTTGAAGAAACAACTTTTTTTAAAATGTACCAAAAGCCTTGAAAAATTCAAATAAAAAAAAAAGAGGGCAATTTAAATGCAAAACATTAAGTAACTGAAGATCTGAGCTACAGTCAGAAACAGCTCGTCAGCTTCGACAAGGACATAAATATTTGAATAGATAAAGAGTAATTCTTGCTAAGAACATAAGACTGCAGTCATTCATTCTCCCCTGCACAGTGTCAGCTTGAAGGCTACCCTCTTAACAAATAGGCTGGGGGGGGAAAGGAAAAAAAAAAAATCAGTATAGCCAGCCCAAAGGGAAAAGTTGTGAACGTTTCAGAAAAACTTTCCAGTGGCAGTTCTGCTTCATGTTGATAAACTATCAAGACAGATTACAATTTTTGCAAGGAGAAATAGAAATATTCAAATGTGTGAATTAAGCATCTGTCTCTCAAAGTGAAGCACCTTAATTTTCTATGTAGGTCTTTTCAACTTCTTATCTCTCCAAACAGACTTATTTTGTATACACTTATTTAGCTTCCCCAATATGTATTAAAAACAGTAAAAAATCCTGAAACTGCTACAGTTAGATCTGCTGATCTTAACTGCAGAACACAGGGACCTAGCAACTTATCTGCCTACTTTCATTAGGTTTCTACAAAACTTCAGCAGAGCATCCAACAGCACGAGAAACGGTCTCTGTGTCACACCACCTGTTTGTGTAGCCCAGCACTTAAGTCTCCAAGAGTGGCCACAGGAGATGCCATTGACAGTTTCTGTGGTCCATTCCCCTCCTGGCTCCCCAGCACCCTTCAGAGGCTGTATCTCCACCCGTTCTTTCAGAACATCTACAGACCTATGGTTCCACCCGTTCTTTCAGAACATCTGTGGACCTACGGTCTGCAAATCTGCCTAACCTCTTTCTGGGCCTGCTGACACTGTCTGCCTCTATAACCCCTTGTGACAGCAAGCTTCAGAAACGAAAAATATTTCTTTACTTGTTTTAAACTGATCTCCTACTGATGTCCATGAGTGCATCCTCTTTCTTGTACCATGGGATTTGGTGCAGAAGAGTTTCACCCATGCTCGCCCAGCAGGAAGGCGCACGTTCCCAACTCCGGTTCTCCGTACCCCATAACTATTTCCTGAGGTACACAGACCAGAACAGCTCCTGGCACGCAAGATGCAGATGCACCAAGGGTATCTAACCACAAAATGACAGCCCTGCCACCTTCTCATTATCCCTCTGACTGACACCCAACACCCTGTTGCTTCTTCACCTGCCACTGCACAGGGAACCGATGACCCCACAGAGCTGTCAATTATGACTCCAAGGCATCCTCCCCAAAATGCAGCTGCCAGCTTCAAGTTGACCATCAGACAGGGATTAATTTACTCTTCCTGAGATGCACTGCCTTACATTTGTCTACCTTGAAGCTCACCTTTCAGCCCACTCCGTTTTGTGAGGTCCCTCTGATGCTCCTCACCACTCACATGGTAACTCCAGATCACTAATAAAGATGCTGAATGAAGCCTGTCATGCCATGACCACTTCACACAGTTACTGACACCCTCCCAGGACTTCAAACAAACAGCTTTGTCAGGCACATTCACAGAAGCCATGCTCACACACTTTCAAAAAAAAAAAAAATCCCACATTTATCCACCTATTCAATAATTTTATTCTTTGTAATAGAACCACACATTTCGAGCTACTGAAAAAACTGTAGTGCTTCAGCAGGTATTTGAAAATAATAAAAGCAATCTCACAAGCTGCAAAAAGCCAATACTAACAATTATGCACTCTAAGAGCTAAGTAATTAAGAGTCCAAAGGAGATGAAAGCAATGAATAGTAAATGAAGGTTGTCAAGGCTTCAGAAAGGCATCCACAAGCACACTTCTCGGACAGCCCCGCACTGGCTCATCCGTCAACGCTTCATCTCCCAGCACACTTCACGTAGCCAAATGCAGACAGCAGATATGCTCTACCCAAGTTTGCAGAGATGTGGATGTGGAACAATGCATAGACCAGGACAGACACTGCTGTAGTGTGATCTCTCTAGCCTTTGCTAGGAAGCTTGTCTTCTTTTCCTGCATCTCAGGTGAGGACAACCACATCTATTTTTTTGCGGTATTTTTAATTATTTTTTTTTTCCAAGGCATAAACTGTTGAAAAAGAAAAAAGTTCATATTCATCTGCCTTCCTGAAGTAGGCCTCACAAACGGGAAAATAAATCTTACATTCAATCCTCGTATCTGAAAATATCCTATTTGTAAAACACCAGATAGCACACACTGAGTCACTGACTCAAACTTACCAATTTCCATTCAGGATAGATGCTTTGTCAATGGAAAGAAAATACAGCTTTCTTGAAGCATGTAATATCCCTATTTTGTTATCAGATGATACAGTCTCAGTCTCTCTGCCTAAAATATTCGAACTCGGCAGCTTTATCCCCACTATCTATTTTTGCTGTGTGCTCAGCATGGTATTACTAGCCTAAGACCTGCATGCACTCAGCTACAAAGGACCGGTGTCTTTGACTTTGGTGTTTTCCTGCTGTACTTTTCCAGCTCCCTTCAAGAGGAACCTCTTACACTGGCACAGTACTTTGCCACTGTCTGTCTTTGCCTGCCAGCTGCTATAAAATAAAATTTCCTCTAATGCACAACCACTGCACATCTGAGCAGGAGGAGTCATACTGTCAAACTGTCCCCAAATTCAACCCCAATTCTTACCCACTTTCTGATCGTCGTCTTTCAACTGATTCAGAACAGCTAGGTCAAGAGTTATGTCCTTTTATAAATTTTCTATTCAGAATCACAAGGAGAACTTCAAGCTGTAGCTTATCAAGCACGTGTTTAAGACGGTCTCTGTACTTTTCCATGGTGAAAGAGATTTACTAACGGAACACGAGACTGGTATTGGTACCATGACCTCAGAGTCCTCTGGATACAAAAATCTACCTGTCCTGTAATTCAATGCTTCTGCTCTGCACTATCAATGGCCACGTTCATTTGAGGCAACTCCCAATTCCATGAGCCAGCCAATGCTACCCAAAGCAGCTACCATCTAAAGGGGTGAGGGGTGAAGTTTGCAGTCTGACTCGCTACTGATTTACCCTTAAAAGCCTGTACTAGGGCTTAAGATACTACACTGAAGTTCCTGAACAGCCTGGGATATAAATAAGTGCACCAGAATACAAGGATCTACGTTGTCATCAGCATCTTGAAGATAATGCCTCAAAACCACCTTTAAACTTAAGGTTATAGAAGTTAAATAAGGTAAACATCACTTACCCCCTAAGTTCTCTTAAAAAAGAAAAGCGAGATATTTGCAGCAATGTACATAAACTTACTTGTTTGAAGCAGATTCTTTATATAGTCACAAACCCTTCATTAGAAGCACTAAGAACGAACCATGTCTGAGGTAAAGTATGCTTTTGGGGACAAACACAAGCATACACTTCATCAGCTGCCTAGCTGTGGTTTAGGATGCAAAATTAAAGCCAAGATAGAGACCTGTGAAGTACATACCTTCACTATGACAGTTTGATCAGAGATGCTGCTCATCATCTCATTGATGGACTTAAAGAGCTGCAGCAGAGATTCCCTGAAGTCTGCTTCTCCTTTGTTTTCATAAAGTCTGAAAAATAATTAGGTTTCATAAGCACAATCCAACCAAAATGGAAATGCATTTTGAAAAAAATCTCTTCAAATTTCAGATGACAATGGGTTGTATTACTTTCTTTTTTTTTAAAAAAGAATCTCTACAAGTTTTTTCACTGAACCAAGAATTCTCTTTCACAAAAAACCAAAGACAAGACAGACTGACTGGACTGGGCCAGCAGGAACAACAGATATTTATTCTGAAGCTTCCTATGTAAAGTGCCACATTCAGTATTGTTTTTTACGCCTTCAAGTCATGGCGAATCCCTCAGCGGTGACCCAGTTCCACGTGCCCACGCGGCAGTGGGCAGAGTCCCTTCACTCCGCACAAGAGCTAGCAGATGTCTGGGAGGACTGATGCCAAGCAGCTCTCTGATGAGGAAGCCAGAAAGCATCCAGACAACTTGCCAGCTATCATTAAAATCTACCAGCGGCCTAAGGTCGGTGACTTTAAACTCTGTGAAAGAGAAAGCCTATCAAGCCACTATTTGCTTAAAAAACAACACCCTTTTTTTCCATAGGAAGTGAGCACTAAAGTTAAAATGCATTTCACCTCTACTTTCTGGCTCCCTAACGCTAAACTAGTTAAGGCTCTGTTTCGTCAGTACAGCTGCCGCAGAAGAACAACTAATCCACAACTAAAGCCCATAGGGCAGGTCCCTCTGCCTTCAGGCAGGAGTTTTGAGAGCTGATCTGCCCAAAAGGAACCCCTCTCTCTCTGCCAGATGCTTTCAGGGAGATAAAAGCTGCCCTCAGATGCCTGAGCAACACCAAAGGCAAAAAACATACAGCCAAGCTGAAGACCTTGGTCTGCTGGTTCAATACAGCACAGGAATGAATGTTCCTGAAAATCTCTTGAATATTTTAAATGCAGAATGATCTCTGCTTCAGGTGTAGGATGAGATAATTCTCACTACGAAATGAAAAGGGAGGGGGAGAAGACCACTAGCTCCACATAAATCCTTTAAAATTCTTTTCTTCCCTTCGGCAATATGCACGACTCAGCCTACATAAGGGCTGCTGGAAATACATTTCTCGAACCTCAGCTATACAGACTTAACATGACCCCAGGAAAGAAAAGAAAAAAAAAAAAAAAAAGATGATCAGTGCTTAAAAGAAGCCCAGGAAAATCTGGCATCCAGGTCAAACCTAGACAGGGGTGTTTATAAACATCAGGTGGGGCTTCTTCCCCAACTAAAACACCATGCTTACCCGGTCAGCTTGATTGCCTCCAAGAGCCTCATCCAACAGCAATGGGGCTTCCAAAGCCCTCCTTGGCTCCACTAGCTCCGACCCTGAGCTCACCCAAACACTGTGCACCACCACCCGTTAGAGCAGCTCCCAGCAAGAGTTCAAGTCCTCTCTATTTTCCTCCACTTTCTTCTAGGGTTAAACCCAGTTAGAAGGTCTTGAACGTGGTCAGCAGCTCACAAAGGGCACTGCACCCTTTTATACATACAGTCACAGTAGGATTTCTTTATGTTTGCAGGCATCATGATGGGCCACCCATTACAGAAGGAAAGGGGCTTATCTTAAGAGAAACATGGAGTTCAGAACATTCTTGCTGCTTTACATCGAAACTAATGTGTATCATTTTTAATGCTGCGTTCGTAAACCTTTGGGAGCTACAGATATTAAAAAAACCCTATTTAGCCAGTACACAGGGGAAATGAATGCTACAGAAAAAATATGAAATTGTGTTATTTTGCTGTGCAAACTTCTGTTCCCCTTTTAGGCAAAAACTAGGGGTTATGCAGGACAAATTACTTGTTAACTCCCAATTTCAATAATGGATTTCAGTGTCCCCCTGAACAGATTAGAGAGGTGAAACTAATACCAACATAAAGAGTAACTAAACTCGACAGTCCAATAAATCAAACTGCTTCAGACAAAAAGCTTTGCGCTTCAAAAATGAAATAATAAAAATAAACAAGGGAGTCACAAATGTGTTTCTACTGTCAGTTATTAACGTCTATTTATTTAATACACCCAACAATACACAAAAACACCGCAGCTACGAAAAAAACAGGATTACACCAAAGTTGACCCTTCTAGCACTGCCTTCAAAATTTTAAGACTTTGTAAATGCAATATAACCACTGGGGTCATTACTGAGTAAACCAAATAAAGGTATTTCTAGAGTTCACTTATAATATTTTGCCTTTATAAACCTTGATAGACTGAACAAATAGATTGCCACCAGGCTTTAACTAGATGAACCAGGCTTCTATGTGTTTATCCAGAACTGAAGCTTGCTGCAATCACACTACTAAAGTGCTCCATATATTCAGTCCACGACCATATTACTAAAGTTAAAAATACGTAATATTTTTTAATAAAAGATTCTGCTTGCTTATTGCGCTTTCTCAGTAAAACACTAAAGCTCTTTCAGAACACTGCTACACTTCTGCATTACAATCACTTCAAATCACACACCTCAGGCAGGATTTAAGTCTTACAGCAGAACAAATCATGGTGTCATTCAGCATTCAGTAGCTTCACTGATTAATCCCTTGTCATTGAGAGCTGTGTCTTCCCAATGCTAAAGAACTGTGAATTGGTGCTTAGCACGAGGAAATCCACTGGCCAACACTAGACGGTCATACTGTCTGAAAATCTAATCTGCAGCAAGAGATAATTATTTTTTTCTGTTTTAAAGTGATTTGTAGGACCTGCAACAGTCTAAGTGACATTCAGTATTTTATGAATCTCACAGCAAGGCTCCTACAGAAATAAATTACAGTCTCTAATTTAGAGAAAGGTTGGAGGAGTTGCGAACTTCAGGGCTCTACATAAATCCCTTGTAATAAGGTTGTTACCGTCGCTAACAAGTAGTAAAAGGATTGAATCTAAATGAAGACAAATATATCACGAATACATCATCAACTTGTTTTATAACTTTTTTAGTATTTCATGCATAAAACACAGTAATGACTTCCAAGTTAACTTAAAATAATTATTTATGCTTGACTGTAAGGATGGACGCCCGCTGCAGACAACGCCAGTGAGTCTCTGCAGTTCACCATGCAGGAGGTCGAGTGGGGAGCACAAAACGTCCCCCCCGGCAGGCAGGCAAAGACCCTTTATAGAAACTCAAATGATTCTCCTACCAAAAATACTATCTCTCTCGAGGAGAGGATTTCCACAGCCCTTCTTTCTCCCTGCTTTCCCACCCTGCTCACTGAAACCTATGGAGACTGCAGGGCCCTACAAACCAACCACCAATGGTCTTTCTGTTCTCACAAGTGGGGGGCTGGGGGACTCAGAGCTGTTGGAGGTTTAATGCCAACAACACTTGTGTTTTTACAAGGCGGCGTGCCAAAAAAGGTGCATCTCATACTCCTTTTCCCTTGTCTACTCTGACTCTCTTCCCCCTCCATGTCTGGCCTACGAATACAGTCATCTGTAAACCACGGCTTCTCCCTGAGCCCTGCAAGCACCATACAAGGACAAATGTCACCTTTCCCATCCAGAAAAGCTGTTCCATTCCTTTCCTTTCCTGCAAAGTTTTTAATACTTTAGTCTTCCCGGACTTTTGCAGACATCTGAGGAAAGCCACCAGCAAAGCCCAGGCCTGGATGAGGGACAGGGTAGTACGGCTGCTCGGTACCTTCAGCAATTCAGTCACGATACCAGACAGTAATTAATAAGAGTTTCCCAAAGAGTGGCAAGCTTTATTTGTTCAGAGACCTAAATTATCAAGAGCTGAAACACATCATGATCTCAGCAGTGCACTGCTACTTCAAATACACATCCCTGTTAAGGAAATCTGACTTGCTCCTAGGGAGTAGCTGTCTCCTGAAGTAAGTTCTAACAATTTAAGGTATTTCTAAAACAGCAGAATATCGAGCAACTTTTAACTTGTGGCGTTACAAAACATTGACACTTTTGGAACAATACTGGCGGTGGGAATTACAGGAGGTTTCAGCATTGACTGTACTTACTGATTGAACAATATCCTGGACCGGACTATGAACTTGAAGATGTACTCCAAAGCTTTCATAGCTTTAAAGAGCTGATCAGTGATACCACACTTCTCAGCATTATCCACGTACGTTTTTAAAACTTTAGTCAGTTTTCTGTTTAAATACAAAAACATAAACAAGTTACAAGTATATTCGCAGAGAAGAATTTCAATCTTGAAAGGTTTAAAGAAGAGTGACGTGCCCAAGTAGTGTCCACTGAGTAACAAAAATAATTATGCAACTAATAAACTCATTATGTTCTTGTTTTTGCCAGTAAGTAGCTGCAACTTATTCTTGAGAAAAAAGAGGAAAAAAAACCCCAGACTATAACACCATTCAACATACAAGCAATACAGCAAATCTTGATAAGATTTATTTTCTGCTGGATATTGAGGGATATTCAGATATAGGCTACTATAAAGATGTAACTAGTAATAACAATCAAAATAATAAAAATAATTAAATTATATACGAACACATTGATAGAATTTAAACACATAAAATGGGGTCATTAAACAAGGCTTCCCCTCTACATAGCCTTCCCGTGGATTTTGGGCTAGAATTTGTGAAATTTATTTCTCAAAAATGTATATGAGTTGGAAATTCTCTCATTCCACATTTTAAAGTCTATCAAACTTGAAAGTGAAACAATTTTAAAAATATCATTTCAGCTACCTCCCTTCCAATGAATATAAATCACCATTTCAATGCAACTACAAGCAATTCCATTTTAAATCATCCTAGCTACACTGTACGTTTCAACATTCACCCTAAAAGTAAATAAGTGCAACATTATATACCACTAACAGAAAATAACATTGAGTAGACAGATATCTTGATATATGGGCATTTATTTGAATAGCAGCAAACTGCCAAAGAATTTTAAGTAACCACTTGGATATTACCAGCGCAACCTCTCGTCGCTTAAACAAACTTGTGCAATAAGAAGCAAGGGAAGGGCAGGGATCTGTCATGCACAAGTCAAGCCAGAATTCAGCTCTTCTAGCATCCTCAAGCTTAAATCTGCTTCTGCCCCCCTGCATTTAAGGAGGGGAAGGATGCTCTCCATACCTCCTAGCAAAAGGGCCACCTTCAGGTGTTGCTAATAAAACCAGATGCTGGAGGACGCTTCACCCTTTCCTCACTTCACATGAGGGCTGTAATGCAGGTGTAACGCACTGAAGCAATCGTAATATCAAAGTTGTAACTAAAGGCCTAACTCTTCTTCGCTATTTTAAATCAATACTTCTCAAATGTTTTCTGGTCACATAATAGAGACTGCGTAACAGCAATGTGCACAGCAGGTTTTCTGGTTTGGATTTCTTTTCCTCCCAACAGAGCAGAGATATCCATTACATATTTCTCCTCCAACATTAATAGTCTGAGGCAGCAGCAAAGATCCTAACTGTCAAGAAATACTTAAAACAGCAAAAATAACGGACCTTTGGCTTTTTTGTTCTTCACTGCTTCCTCTCCCAAAGCGACGGTAACACAGGTAACACAGCATAGAAGATCAATTTAATGCACCAAACAATGTATTTGAAGCATCTTAAATGGACATGATTTCTTTTCTCAAGTATGACTGAGAACTGATTATGAATATTTTCCTTACAAAACAATTCTTGAAATCGTCAAATCATCCCTTCCTTCAACACCACAAAATCAAGACTCCCTCGCAAATGACTGGTAGTAGTTTCACTACCATTATCCCAGAGAAAGACATACTGTCTCCAGTCTTCTTTAAGAACCTCCCACCCTCCCAAGCTCTATGGGCAAATTTTTAATTAACATTATTCAGTTACTTGTTCATGTGGGTTATCTGGAGAAATTATGCAAGCCACATTAGAAAAAATAAGCTTTAAAATTTACGTGTAGGCTAAAGTAGCACTGAAATGCTTCTTAATGTAGGTTTCCAAGACAGGATTAAAATGTTGAAATTTTCTGTCAGCGATCAGTCCAATGATAAACACCTGAAAAAAACAGCATAATTTTTGCGTTATCCTCAAAATAATCTTTTAATTTTGTACATTCACCAACCTTTACTTTCAGATAAATCACATCAGTAACATTAAAAACACACAGACTTTGGCTTTTGATTGTCCTCCCAATATCTGAATATTCTCCTTTCCTGTGAAAACCTCCCATTCAGAACAAGTTTTCTGTTCTAAGCAGAAACTATCTGTTTCTGTCCTAAATTCAGCTGTTAATCCACTAAAGTGACTGGACTTGATTGCTTCCACCTTTTCTTGGAGGATGACACGATGCAATCCAACCCCCCTCTGATCAAGTCCAACTGAAACTTCAAATATAGTTTTTAAACTAAACAACAAATAGTTAACAGCTAAGATGATCTCTTTCATTAGTAAACTCCATTCTAGCATTTACACTATGTTTGTTTTGTTTATTCACCATTACAGTATCTCCATTTTAGTCCATCCACAATGCAAACTTACCAAAGCATCAAACACTAACGTGTCAAATGTCTCACTCTCCGAGTTCTCCATCATTATGTTAAAAAGTGCATCCAATGTATCTTGAAGAAACTACAAATAAATACACAAGTCATCATATTTTACAGGAAAAATGAAATTCAGATTTCACACAGGTTCCTACAGACATATTTGCTTTCATTTATAGATTTTACAAAAGTAAAGACATTTTAAAAGTTAGCCAAAAGGAGGAAGATTTAACATTTTTGTTTTCAGCAAATTATTTTGTAGTTAAACTGATTATCTATACATCCGTATCACTCAAAAAGTCAAAAATCACACTTGGTACACCTGAACAAGGAGTTTTAATCTATTACAGTGAATGAACAAAAATGTACTTCAAAACTCATTTTCAACATACAGTCAACAGGATCATGCAGTTTCTGAAAACTGATGTTTCAGAGCACAAACCAGACAAGCAATGGAGTCTCATGCCAAATAAATCAAGTCATCCTCAGTAGTTTTGAGCTGAGCAATGCTAAGTGCACAGCATATCGCTTTTCAGGACTGCGTAAACTCAGATCCACAATTTCAAATGAGATCATACATGCAGGCATGGGAAGGAGAGCACACAACCTTCTGCCCCAGCCCAAAACCTACACGCCTCTAATCACTGTAAGAGAGGAAGAGTCTTCGCTAGCCAGCTGGCTGGACACCCTGATCTGTGACACACGAAAGCAAAAGCAGATTAGTGTCAGGGGATCCAAGTTAAGCAGAGGGATAAAAGCTGGTTTATGCATGTATAATTACAGTATTTCTTCCCAGTGACAAGTAGTACATGCATAGATCAAAGATACTCATCAATACACTCAGTTTTATCAGCATGGAATTCTGCGTCTGAGCATTTTCTTCCACCAGATGACACAAAAACGACATGGGCTCCTCCAAGGCGGAACGAGGATGGATCATGGCCTCAGTTTGCATTTGTTTTGGTAGAGAGAGAAGGAGTTCAACAGGGATTTTTCCAGCAAGTCTGTCTCAAATGAAGTAATTTTTTTTGTGTGTGTGTTGTAGACGAGACCTGGTATAGTTGAGGAAGAACGTCTGAACAAGCAGAAGGCAACTGCTCCCTGAGATGGCAACTATGAAGGGATATAATATGTGGGAGCCATGGAAAAAACAGCCTGCCTCCCACCTTCCTCCCTTAAGTTTCATCTATGCAATGAGTCTTCCAGATCAAATGCGACTCACCTGGATTATCTCCTAAATCTAGAGTTAAATCTCAGGAATTAACCTCCATTTAACAGCTTGCTAAACACTGCTGAATGCCAAACTTCCTCAAAACAAGTGAGTGTGGAGGCACAGTTCATGCTGCTAACATCTGCAGATGAAAAACCAGAAAAGCCAAAATGCTTGCAGCTGATTTTGGACTTCAGTTCTGGGGGAGATCCAGCTCATAACTTCACTACAGGATTTGGGGGGTGAAAAAAAAAAAAAAAAAAAAATTATAGCCTTCTCTCAGTGCCATTTATTCAACTGAAGAACATGTGCATATAAAGTACATTTAACCAGCAGCTGGCCGGAAGGAAAGAGTAAAGCACGGTTTTGAGATTTGACAGGAGAAGTTGCTGTCCTGGTTTGAAGAGAAGTAGTACTCTCAGATCCCAAACATTGCCTGGGTAAGTCCCTTTAAAAACAAAGGATGGTTAGAAGGCCACATCATGACCGATTGAGTCTTCGTTTCACATTTAGACATCATATATTGGCTTTCATTAGTAGGGCTGAAGTTTTAAACCTGTTCGTAAGGACTTCATGTAACAGCAAGAAGAATACAGGGTAGATGCTTTTATTGTATAAAGTGGCAGGAAAACATTTCTCAGGTAGGAAGCCAGTATGAGTAATTTATAGACTATTAGTTTACATTCTCATATCCTATAGACTCCGCGCACAAATGGAGTCGGAGCCTCTGTTAAAGGCAGATAACATTTACGCATTTACAGTTTCCATTCACTACTGAAATAGTCAATCACTGAACGATTGCTCTACTTAGTGATAAATGAACAGAGGTACTTTACTGGAGGTTTTTTTTAAAAAAAAAAAACAGGAACAGTTTAACAGAAAATTTGGTATCTTATTTAAAAATATGAAGGACAAAAAAGCTGAAAGAATAGAAAGGAACAGTTACAAACTAGATACTACGAATATGCAACAGAGCAGTCTGCACAAAGATTTTCTGAACACTGCTGTAACAGATGGATAACAAACAGTGGTCTTGAAGAAAAAAAAAAATAGTAAAAACGGGGAAGAGAGTAATATTAAACATTCACTCTTCTGTCCTACGCACAAGTCCAGGTCTGCTTAGATCCCTATGCAACACGGAGGAGGGAGTATGACTTCATACAGTCCTGCAACGGCGCAGGGAGGGGTGAGTGTGTGCCAGCTGGAGAATCACTCTGGTATTGCTTTTACTGAAACCTCATTTGTGCTGCATTCTGATGCTTCTAAAATCACCGACATCCATCAAGCAGTAATCTGCCGTACCCTCTCTGATGTCATTGGGAGAAGAGGGAAAATTACAAATGACAGAACTATGACAATGCTTGGCAGAAGCAAGTATCAGTGTCAAGTTTTTAGCTATCAAATGATCCATAACAAAATAGTAGCAGGTAGAACCTTCCTGAAAAACAAATCATGTGAGATACTATTTTCACCAGACTCAAATGAAAACATCTGAGAATGCTAATATTATAAGTTACTTCAAGATGAGGCATTCATTAGGCTTCTATTAACCAAATTAGAATCCACCGATGTAAGGAAACAACACTATAGGCCCTTAGGGGTCATCTGTCCCCAATACATTCCATCTTTTGACACCCTTTTAGATTTGATTTATTACTACACATTCAATAAAGTCCCAACCTACTCTTTTCCACAGCTAAATCTGTCTTTGTGCAGGTCTCTACAATCACTCAGTGGCCTTGGCAAATGTAAATAACTTGGCTCTGCTAAATATTTTCAGGAGAAATGATTTCTTAAAAAAAAAAAAAGAAAATCAGCAGCACAGTATGATTGCATTCCACATCCATATATTAAAAATACATTTAATATCACCATGTAAGAATTCCAAGATATTCTAATCTTGCAAAGACAAACACTCTTTGCCTTCATGTATCTGTATAGAAAAATTGACTGAAGCACTAAGAAAACACCCTACATTTTCAGAAATTTCCATTTTACATATTTTTGCAGAAATTTGCATTTACGTATGTTTTACTAGTACTCAACATCTGAAATGTTCTTTGAGGGCTGGGAAAAGGGCATTAGCATCCTGAAGGCTGAGAGATACTTGGTTACTATTTAATGTGCAAGTGTGTGCAGTGAGGCTGGGGGGCGGGGAGCAGGGAACACAACAAAAGATATGAATTCCTCAGTATACGGGTATCGGCAAAATTATGATACCAAATCTATTTTTAAAGAAATTAACTTGTTACCTTAACCACTTCACCACCATCGACCTTCATCAGCTGCTTCAAATTCTGCTGCAACAGGTTCGTGTTAGATCGCCATTTCAGAAGTCCCAACAGATCAACTAGGAATAAGAAAAACAATTCTATCATGCAGGATATTTACTTTCACTCACACTCCATAACTACATTCAAGACAAACAGGTTTATTTCCTTAGGTCAGCCATTTTCACTGGACAACAACGTGGTTTAGTATGTCTCTGACACTGCAGAAACCTAGTACAATAAATACTTCTATCACAGAAGAACTCCAAAAGGCTTTCAAAAAAGCAGCCTGCTTTTGAAATGTCAGCATCAAAATCTAGGCCAAGAGAGTCCGATCCCTCAGTTCTAATCTGTTGTACACAACAGTTGTGTGTTTGGAAAAAGATGCCAAAATGAAATTAGTCAGCCACCGACACAGTCATATCTACAGGGCCGTGACTCCTCCAGCATTAATGTTTCCAGCTTCTTCGCTCTCACTGAATAAACTGAAAAGAAAATAAGGCACAATACAAGGCAAACAGTTGCAAACTAAGCTAATTCAGAGGAAAGCTGTCTGCTTAATAACTCAAAATGCCCGAATTGCTTGGTTGCTTCCAAGTGATGGAGAGCTAGGGTACAGATCAGATCACGAAACAAATCAGCTGCAAATGGTCTTGTCCCTAAGTTCTACATCCCACTATTAAGATCGTGTCGCTTCATCACTCACTGATAAGTAAGAGAATACAGATGGCAAGCTCTCTCTCTTAGTCATAAAGAGCCACAGCATCCTCTTTCAGTTTCCTTTAAGGAAAACTTCTCACGAGGCAGCTCACAATTGCTGTTCCCCTGCAAATAAGCACGCTAGTAAATATTAACAACCACACTAGAGCACCAGGAAGTTAAACCCACGCTAGCATTTGTTGAGATGCGACCTGAATTGCCCACAAACCCAAAACCCCAAGCTCGTCCTGCCTTAGCCAAAGCAGCATCTGGGAAAAATTCCTCCCTGCCCCATTAAAATTCAGTTTTCAGCACAAAACAAACTATCCATAAGTCATCCTCAGCAGAAGCCCCTGAAGAGAGACAAACAGGAGATTTTAAAGACTGTCTACCTTCAGTTTAACCACTGGATTACTACTGCACATCACCTCCCCTGGTATGGTTAATATTATGTGAATCCTGTCCAATGTAACTCTTACAGCGTAAGGACTCTCCGGCTTCTCCCAACCAATACCCCCTCACTTCTTTTATTCAAAACTTTCAAAGCAACCAACAAAATGTTTACCAAGGCAAGCATCTGCAGAGTATATTCTGGAAATTATATACAGAGACCCAGAGCAGCTGCTATCCCTTCCCCAAAATTTTTCATCCTAAGCAATAAATAAAATTGCTTCTAGGGGAATGGACTGCAGTTCTCCTTGGGATAGATTCCGCTCTGAGCGGCACTCAAACCAAGCCTTCGTATCGTCTCTCTGGGACTAGGAAGTAAAGAACATTTTACTATATTATAGCTGTGAACAATCCAAGCTCTGAATTTTTTAATTTTTTTTTAATGTATCCTACAAGAAGTCTAAAGGCTGAAACCAAAGTCTTAGAAACTCAACATTAACAGAAAAATTGCTTCTGGAAGAAAAAGTAAAGATGCTTCCATGAGTTCTCCGAAGTGTTTCATGAATATGTTTATACCAGTTTTCCATCACTGAATTTGGTTTCAATATGACTTCTAAAAAGGCATGAGCTTAACAAAAGAAATGATCTGAAGAAAACACAGCCCACAGACTATCTCTGAATGGCATTCTGTATTGCCCCAAGAAAACAAACCCACGGGTCCTTTCAGTGTGATGACACAGCAAATGCTAAATGAATATACACGTGCGAACAGAAAATGTCAATGCAGTCCAACTACCAGAAAAACAAGCTACAGTCTGCAGTAAACATGTGCATTGACTCTGTTATTGCAAGCATTAACCTCAGCAAAGGACCAGTCGGTCAGTTAATCCTACTCTTTTAATAGGTCTAGGTATAAAATAATACAGTAAGTAGAGCAGAGTAAGAATGTAAAGCACTATTTTAGCCTACAGTAAATAGTAATACCGTAGGTCGGTCTAGTGAAATTTATGTGATCAGAAAATATTAGAGGAAGATGACAGAATGAGGATTTTCAATTGCAAAGGGTTAGAACACCCAGCCTGCCAAGTGAGCCAACAGCAACTTTATTTAGGTTAGTGTAATTTATTATTATGTGACTACATATGAAGATTTTCTTTTACATGTTATTTAGCAATTGGAAGCAAATGGTCCAACGTCCTGGTTACATACTTTACTTGACCTGTATTTATGCAAAGGTTTCCCAATGAGATACCCAAACTTTCCTCCAAGTCCAGTCACTGAATGGAAGTTAGATAATGTTTCCACTCTAATTAAATTTCCATGTGTTCTTTGAAATAATCTTCCCTCTTGACTTTAAGCATTTGATTTTCCACTCTTTATGACTTGTTTTATTTTAATTCTGTATTCACATCTTCATTTTTATGCCACTGAAGCACCTGAATTTGCCATATCATCTGTATTGCCTCTTTTTTTTTTTTTTTTAATTATTGTGCTGAATGACTAAGTAAAATCCTCTCAACTGTTTTCTGAAAGCGTAGTGTCCTTGGTTCCTCAAAGTCTTGACTCCAGATCAGTAACAGTCACTGTTATCTACAGCTTTGAGTCCTTCAGGCAGAAAAGAAAACACAGAAATACTTTCAGTAAGCCTTACAGACACCCTGGATGCTTCACAACAGCAAATGCACAGGTAGAACACCAGACAGCTCTCTGGCTACTGGTAATCAGAAAAATTTTCCAGCAAGTCCATTAATGCAATTTCAGTTCTATTCCCATCACCCTGATAATAAAAGGACATCCATCTTGACAGTCCTAGAAGAGGCACTCCTAAGATTGACTACCCACAGGCAGTCTTCATGTAGAGGGGGATGTCCCTTTTGATGCTATTTTGTCCCTTTTGATGCTATTTTGCCCCTCCCTCTGCACTTCTCAGTATCTCCAGCTTCTAGTTGTCAGAAAAAGAAGATTCAAATACCAAAACTGCCTTGTCTATGCAGGAGAAAACATGACCTCACTTTGTGCTAGCTCAACAGGCTGTTCAGAATAAGGAAAACAAAATCAACATGCAACCCTGGCTTGGATGTGACATCAGGAACAGATCCAAACAGACCTTGCTATCCATTTACCCTAAGAACAGAAGACCCAACACTTCCCACCCCAGAGAGATCTACTGAGATGTTACCAACTGCAAGCAAATATCCCACAACACATGGGATCAAATTGCTCACTTCCGACCTTATAAAAACCCAAACAAACCCAAAGAAAACCAATAAAAAACAAAACCAAAAAGCCCACCACAAACTTGGGGCATCTGCTGATCCATTCCGTGCCCCACAATACATAAGCAGTAGCAATGCATGTGTGAGGTATCAAAGGGCCAACCACCCCTGAGAGAAGGTGGAGACCCAGTGCCACATTGCCTGTTAGTACATCAGGTGACAGCAGCACTGTCAGTCATGACTTCAACATGCACATCTCTAGTTTGATATAGTTTCATATCAATTCTTAAATTCTAGAGTTTTAATATAGAAGCTCTACTTCATTACACAAAAATGGACTTGATGTTTATGTCAAAGTGTTCCTTCAGCCCATAAAGGACATATTTGTTACAGAAAGTCTGAACTGTAGAATAAAAATAAAGGCACGCACTGCCATAGCCCAGCTGACACAGGAGGAAGAACATTCTCTTCCGCTCAGATGGCAACGGAGGAGAATCTGGCCAAGAGGCAAAGTGATGATGAACAGCAACTTGTGATGCCTCCAAGAGCTGACCTTCTCACTGAAGATTCCTGAGAAGGTTGGGAGTTTTTGGCTTGTTTTCAGACAGTTCTCCTCTTTGGCTTACATTGCTACTCTTCCTCAAAATTAAATGCAAAAATCTAAGAAAAGGCTAGGAAACGTGTTGCTATAACATACCCTGCAACAAATCCCTAACAACTGCTCAAATGTTAAGTAGATACTTCATACTATCACTTTCTCTTAAAGAAAACAGCTGAAGTCTAACCAGCAGACAAGTTTGCTATTTTGGAGACTTTTCAGAAGCTAAAGACATCAATTGCTAACAGAAAAGCAACACCAGTACCTTATAGTTCATACAGAACTGAAGTCAGATGAGCATTCAAAGGGCTCGTACACAAAAAGGTAGTCTGCAACATCAGACACAATGCAGAAAGAGCCATATGATTTATGAACGTACTTTCAGGATTACTAAAAATAAGTCTTAAAACCAATTCTAAAATACTTATGGAGGGTAAAGAGAGAACTTTTATAGATGACCAAAAAGAGAAAATTGTGTTTTGGTTCAACATTTTAGTAAATGAGGACAACTGTGGATTTTTACTTATTTTTAAGACAGTTAAAGGAAGAATATTAGCCAACAATTTTACAGAGGTCAAAATCAGCTTCAGAAACCATGATTTGAGTAGCACTGCCAATTTTTAGATACAAAAAATTATACTTGAGGGAAGAATTTAATGATGAATTTTTTTTGTTGTTTCTGTTCTAAATTGCTTAAGGATACATGATGATCTTGTTTAATAACGTCAAAACACTTTGAAGAAAGAGAAAAGGCTTCGGCAACTTTGAGAAAAAGTTTCACAAACAACATAATTAACAGTAACATTAAATAAAGATCAAAAGTTCAAAGCAAATTATTTTAAATTGAGCATTGTTTCATGCTTAGTCTTCATTTTAATAATAGTTCTGCGAAAGCAACGCCAATATATTGATCGCTATGAAATACTGCGAACTACTAACAAGCACTAGGAAAAAGAAAGCCAAAACTAATCATATTGCGAACAAAAAGCAGCTCAATTCCTCATGCTGGTTTTCCGTGTTCTACAAAACCCCAGAACCACTGTGTTACTGTTGAGCTACGATCCCATCTTTGCTACGAAATTCCAAAATCATTTCCGAATTTTTTTTGCTAAACACCCTCTTAGGCTGTAAGACTGCCAGGCTGCAGTGACTCTGATGTGCTCTGAATACGAAACACCTAGGACGTGCTGTAACAGAGATGCCACTGCAAATCACTGCAATAAAGTTACGAGTTGACTACAACGTCATACCAGAGTAGTAACTTTCCCCCTGGACAGAGGGGAACTCATTAACATTACAATCCAATCATTATCCCCGTCCCAAGCCTTCCTCATCCACAACCTCAATTCCCAACAGATCTATCTGAAGCGAGCCCTCCCTGCTCGTGAGTCACCAGGAATGATCCCGTTCCCTGGCATGACTCACTCACATCTCAATGACCCACCCACACTCCCGAGTCTACTTCTGGTGCAGTGAAGAGAACAAGGGACCGCTCCATGGCAACGAAGCACAGAAATTACAGAGGGCATAGTCTGGAAATGTGAAATATTTGCTTTGGTGGCTGCCATCAGCTCTACTTTCCACAGCCTTTGGATGCAGTCAGCCAGCTGACAAATACACATGAAAAATGTATATAAGGCAAGTTTTAAAAAGAACAAAATATGACAACTCCATTCCTGGTGCTCAGTGTTCACGCGAGGATGTGCGAACGCTGAGAGTGACCTCCACGCAACACATTCTCATGCTCACATCCCTTCTGCCCAACACAAGAAAACATCAGAGCTTTCTTCAGGCATAAGATATGGTCATTATACCTTGAAAAGAACACAAAACAGCTTATTTGGGAGCCAAGCCATGATATTACCTACTCTTGAAAGAAAACTCATCCTCTTCCTTAGCGCTATTACTCATACCCACAGAGAAGTAAAATGCCACAGAGCCTGTTTTCAGTATACTTCAGTATAAAAGCCTCAACTATATGGCAAACAACATTCCCATTTCCATTTAATTTGTATTCTTCTGTTTTCTTAGAGACATGTACTGCTCTAAAACAAAACAAAGCCCACGGGCAGAGGAAAAGCTGGATAGTAAGCACATGCAGGAAATGCTTTTCCGGTATCCAGACAATTTAATCCAAGACCGCATGGCAAACCAGCCACCATCCATTCACAGGGGAAGGGGGATGGAGAAGGCAGGAAAGCCAGTACATACAACCCCACTCCAACTGCGAGGAGCAGAAGCTCCAGCAGTTCTATGAACTCACCGTTCTGCGTAAGTTTTGTTGAACAAACTAGAGTAGAAATCTGGAAAGAGTCTTTGCTGATGGTGCAGCTTCCAAGGTTCTGCATGCTCTTCCCCGTTGCAGAGTGTCCTTTCTCCTCCAATTCTATTTTAGTGGATGGAAGGCTTAAATATGTCGAGGCATCCTCCAGCTTCTTTGCTTCTGCCTACAGTAGCATTTTAAATACAATATGAAACAATTCTGAAATATCTAGTAAAAAGTCTTGGTAATAATGAAATATTATTATTTACACTGGATTTTCCTAAGTTCGCTCCAGAAATGGAGATATCCAATGAGATCTTTAACAACAGTAATTTAGCACTAACCTGTCTACACGTTAGAGCCAAGATGTAAAGGGCTAGAGAAGTAACTTTTCCCAGCCAAGAAAACACACATAAAACTCGCTAACAAGCACCTTCAAAATTAAAACATGCCTGGTACAACATCTTCCAGGTTTAATAATCTATCTGCCAAATACGCAAATTGCACAGTACTTACTACTTAGTTGACTGATCTAACAAAGTAGTCTATAACGTATTGTTCTGCATAATGATGTAACAATAACTCACTAAAAGTCAGTAGTATTCACACTGAGCTAGCTACTATGGAAAGACTAAAGTATCTCAAAATTTTACCTTGTAAACTATAAGGTCGTGTTCTCCATCTCTCAAAGTTGTTCCATCATATCTCATGAGCTTCACAAATGCTAGGGCAAATATTTTCTCAGATTTATCTTTGGCTGTTATAAAACAAACAAAAAAAAGCATAATTAAGTATTTGATACTAGTACAGACAGTCCACCTAATCTCAAAAACATGGATAACCTATAAACAAATGACCATAGTAAAGATTCTCAGTTGGAGAAAAGGTACAAGAAATGGGGAGAGTCTTCTAAACTCAAGACGGAACCAAAAACCATGAGAAATAAGTGCTTAAGAATCTGCTCCTTAATATGCTTAATATTTCTATATTCTGTGTGTTCATTTAGAAAGCTGAATTAAGGCAACTTTTTAAAAACAAAACAGAAGTTTGATGTATTTATAATGTTCAGGTTTTTCAGAGTTGGAAGAATGGCAGTGCTTGGCACCTAGAATAATGATTTAAAGACCAGCACTGAGGATCTCGGGGGGGGGGGTGTTTCATCATTTATAGGGAGAATATGAGAACCAAAAAATAGAAATGGGATCCATAACTACAGACGAAGCACCTAAGTTTCTGAAAGCCAACCCACTCTACAACTAATCCGAACTAGAAAATGCATTCAGTTTGCTCTCATCGTTCAAAATCTATTATCAAGAGCTAAACAAAAACAAAGCAATGGGGCAAGTACAAATCACAAAGTTAAGAAGCAAAACCAGAAGGAAAGTGCAATCACCTTGAGATAGTCCAAGCAGCCTGCGAGAAAACCCTGCAGCCCTAAGGCACAGCCTTTAATTAATAATTAAACCACAGCCAACCTCAATTTTTGATTCAACATAAAAATATTTGACTCTAGTAATTTGTAGTGCACAATCATAATTTTGACACATAGTTTAGAGAATGATACTTGCTAATGCAAACAAAGTAGATCTTTTATTAATGATCAATTTGCAAAACATACAGCTTCAATTAAATAACGGCTATGGGGTAACGTACTACATATTACACAGATAGGTATACATGAAGAGCATTACATGTCTTAAAATGCATCCAGTGGACAGTACCCGATTAATGCTTTTGTCCACACATTTATTCTACAGCAAGAGAGTTCTGCTGCAGATTTAGAAAGGCTTTCCTATCAAGCGAGACAGCCCCTGTAATCACTACATGGAATGAACATTATCACAACCGAGGCAAATCCCCAAACTTTACTACAAAACAGCTGTTGACAAATGGAAGATGTCTAGCTGACTCGATCAGATCCTCAACAGCTCAAAGCATCTCAGCTGCCAGCAGCATTACAGGAAAGCCAAGGAAAACCACAAGCTCTCAAATATCTTTTAGAGGAAAATTACTTCAAAACAACCACAAGTCAGTCTGAGAACTAGAAGCGGAAACCAAGTTTCTTAATAGTAAAGTCTTCAATTACTGATGCTAAGCCCACTGTAAACTCTTCAACATTCCCATTTCACACATGGGGTTGTTAAATATCTTTACAACTCCCTACCCAGATACCTTTAAGATATACAATACCACAACCCTTTCAGTTGCTAATGGAAAGCTTTATTCACTAGCCCTGTTATTTGACTTGGAGAAATAACTGGGCAGGAAAGGAAAAGCTTGATGTCAATAGGTAACAGTGAGGAAGATGTAAAGGGAAAAAGAAGCCGAGATGCTAACATAAAGCAAGGAGGCAAAACACTTAGCCCTGCGCTAAAAGCGATTACAATAGTCAATTACAGATGAGGAACGTTACGCCTGTTGCAGCAGATTTTGGCACCGGACGCTGAGAAGAACCATAATGAAAAGGCTGAATTACTCACAGTCCTGTGATGATCTATGACGGAACGTGAACCTTAAATGACTGCGGTTCACATCTTCAATGGGGATTGCAACCTTCACATATTGGGAAAGAGGACGGAGAAAGAAAACAGTCTGTACAGTATCTTCAAACATCTTCAACCACTACCAAATCTCATCTAGACATATTTCAACAACATGCTCGGTGCTTTCAAAAGATTCATGCTAAGTACCAGCTTCGTTTTGCCATAGAAGATCTTGAAAGGTCACAGATTCCCCAGGAAAACGACCAATTCTTGCACCAAGGAAGAGCGAGGGAACAAAGCAAGTCTGTTAAGTTACCTGACAAGACCTGCAAGTGCGGGCTGTAGCCTCAAAGCCTCCCCTATTGCTCCCTCCATCTCAGGAATGAGCCCCTCTTCACTTTGGTGGAGTTGAACTTGATTATCAACAGCAGCAAAGTAAAAATTCTTACCGTATCCATTATCTGTGCAACACTTCTACTACATATACTATTAGCGTATCTCTGACCCACCACATGTAACCACTATGCAGACATGTAACAAATGCTCTTCTCCTCCGGTATTTTTGCTAAGCCATCCTATTTTCCTAATCACACCCACATTCAGGCTCTGTGCCATACACTGCTCCCCAACACCACATCTAGGTTTCTACCATTCCCCTGCAGCCACTTTCTCTCTACAGATGCAACAAGAGCACCTTTGGACTTCAAACAACAGCATGGGGAGTAGCTCCAAGTCCCTCCTCAGTGCACGTATACTGCTCCCACTGACTACAGCTAGACAGAATATATTTTATAAAGCTAACATCAGATGCCTCTGTAATACCAAAACTTGGTATTTAAGCTAAAACATTATTACCCAAGCAAATTCAGCAAGCTTAAAGCACAATCAGCCCGCTATGTTCAACACTATGGCAATTACATTTTAACCTTAATATCCTGCTTCTCTAGGTCAGCTTCACTGAAATAGAGTACGCCATTCCTAAAGAGATGCAGGAGTGCCCCCGTAACAGTCATCTAGACCAAAAGAAGGAACTAAAATTCATTATGTGATAAAAGTCAAATCTCTTTTCCAGCAGTCCCTGAAAGCCTTAGCTGAGCTATTCCTTTTGTCCTGCTAAACACGGTCACACGCATTGAATTTCCCTAGTTTTGTTTCTCAAGGCTTTCCACTGAAACCTACATTAACCCACCCAGAGGAAGTTATCGTAACAGTTTATATACCTTTACAGTCTCAAACCAGCGAGGCTGCTTTACTTGGTAATATATTACTGACTTGTATTCCGAGATGGCTTCATCACCAGCGCCAGGAAATATAACACTCTTGAAAACATAAACAGAAGACAAAATGTTTACATCTATCTCAAACTCCACTTTTTCATTCAAATAAACAAAAAAATTGGTCATGCTCAGACCTCCTCATGAAATTAGTATCAAAGTGCATGCACTGATATGCACAAGATGTATTTTGTTTGACAAAGGAGAAAATTTTGTTGTAAATAAAAATAGGGACTTAAGTTGACAAATATAGAGAAAGATGTTGAAAAGGCTTAAATAGGTGTGTATCAAAATTAAAAAACCCAGATGTTAAAGTATTTAATACCTCTAATCTTTTGCCATCTTCATCATAAACAGATACTGTAACTTCTACATTCTTTGCTGTTGTTTTACTGCCTTTGTCAAAATCTCCCTGAACCAACGTGACATAGATGTCATTACGAACATCACCTAAAAGAAAGAGCAAAGCACAAAGTTCTTAGCAATTTTCACAGTATATCATCATTGGTTTCACAGATTTGTGAAACCAATGATGCACAGAAACAACGACCGACACATTTTAGTAACAGCAATCATACGTTTACATGGCAAAATGTGTAAAATCCACAGGATCTTGAACATTCAAAACTAGTAGCACTGAAAACAGCTGTTTAGAAGTCTTAACACAATTTTAGCTAAAGTCTGAACTCTCAACTCATAATGCAGCAAGCTGAATCTAACAAACAAAAAAAAATATCACGCATTATTTCTGGACTGAAAGAATACCACGTCATCACTGAGAGTATGTACATATCACTGAAAAAAACACCTCAGCTCTTTTTTTTTTTCCCCTACAACTTCGTTCATTATCAATTTGAAAGGATGAATTTTAACCCAGTTATTAATTTATCCCATACACAGGTATTTTGCAATTTAAAAATATTTAAATAGCCTACAGAGGTCTGTTTAACTTGTTACACCGGGAAGAAGTTTGATGTTTCTGCTGGTTTGGGGGTTGCAGAGTATTTAGCTTTATGTCTTAAAACGCTCTTCAACTACACCTCAATTTAACTGAAATTTTGAAAATGAGCTGCGGAAACAGGGGACTTCTAATAACTTCATGAGGGAGATGGTTTACGTGCCAACATATGATCATAACAAGCAGAGGTGCCGAAGCACTTACACGGCGCTGGATATACAGTAAATAACCTGACAAATGCACAGTCAGCAACCACAGGGAGGGCTGGAACTGGGATGGTTTTTAAAAATATCTAATGGATCCTCCCGAGCCCATCAATCTGAAAAAGGCAGTGCAGGGTTCTTCCTGTAGTCTGTTGCTTATGGCAATTTTTATTTTTAGAAACATTACATTTTGGAGTTAGGGGGGGGTTTTTTTTTGTAAACACCAGAATTGAACACACAGAGAATGTATGTATTAAAAAAGAAAATATGGCTTTCTTTCAAATAGGTTATCCAAATCTAGTACCAACTTCAAGAGACGTGCATATCTCTAAATTAAGTCTGTTCCCCTGAAAAATCTTTCTGGTTTGGATTCATCACAGGATAGAAGTTTTACATATGCCATTGCTAGGGAGCAACTATGAAGCCTTTACTTTGTATACATTTTTCTTCACTGAAAAAAGAGAATTTCCACTGTCACTGTGATATCACATTTTTTTTTTGGGGGGGGGTGTTTTATTTATTTATGCAGCACATGTGGCAGGTATTACCAACATATTTTATGTTTATTTTAAATGAGACAAAATCCTTTGATGATTCTTTATTTCTAACGTATACCAAACCTCAAATTCTTTTTATTCTCTCCCTCAAAGCTTCCATACACACAGATATTTAAAGAAGGTTAAAATACAACAAAGCAGCATTAATTCACACAATCACTTACCAGGCATGATAATCTCAGGAAACCCCATTTTCCGAGCCACGGCTGTTGACCTATCCACTAAGTGTGGAAACTCTTTCCTGATCTGATGAATATCTCCTGGAAGAAGCTTCAAAGTCACCCACAAACCTGTTGTGTAAAAACCACAATTATTAAACTGGTGGTTTTTTCTAGTTACTAAAGATTTCTTTTTATAAATTCTAAAATGTAGGAACATACCTGCTCTTCATTTAAAAAAAAAAAACAAAACCAACACTTTACCAAGTATTTTAAAGCACTCAAAAAACCTCACACAACTTCAAGCAGAAACATGAGTACAGCGCACATAAATGTGTCTGATTATATTGAGACTTTCTGGAAAACTGCATAAAATCCTCACCTGGAAGCCGACTAGCTAATAAAAAAAACCTGAGAAACTGGAAATCCGTGCAAGATAAGGATTCGGGCCTTCATACTGTGCACTTTACAGCAATACCATCTAGAAGGTGCCTTGGTAGGGAGGAGTTGGGCAGATGTTCAAAAGCAGATGCATATAGCTTCCCATAAACAGGCTTACTAAAGCCGAAAATTTTATTCCTCGTCTAAAAATTTCAATGGAAAAGGTGCCCATTCAGAAGAAAACCAGGTTAGTGGCACCGTACAACGTAAATCAGAAGAGGGAAAGCCTCGGTTATCAGCCAGACCCACTGAAAATAGGCTGTGAAAATGGCAGCAAGCCTACCGTGCCCTGGGCACGAAGCTGGAGTGACCCCTGCAGAATGTCTCCTCCTCACAGAACTTTGAGGACTAGACTTCTCTCATCACTTAACTCTTCCACAAAGCGTCTCGTGGAAATAGTTATTAAGCCATTAGCAGAACTGCCTCAAGCTTTCATCTCTCCTTTGAACTCTCACAAGTCCTTTCTAATGAAATGTTTATCTTCCACAAGAAGAAAGAGAAGTGGCAACGTTGATTTGAATGGAGAAAAATTAAGTATTACAACCAACTGATATTGAGATGCCAATAAAGAGAGCACCAACGGCAGATACATCCCCTGAATTGATTCATCGCCACCCCCGTAAGCTGTTTTTACTGCACTGAGCACAAAGAAATCTGCAGCATCAGCTTTACACAGTTGACATTTTTCTCTTCAATAGCAGAAGGCGCCACTAAAAAGCCACTGCTTGCCAACTAACATCAGGCACACTTGTTAGAGGAAAAAGAAAGATACCAAAGTGGGAATTAAAAAAAAAAAAAAAAAAGTAGTATTACATACTTGGTAAAGTGACTGGCAATCAAGTTTAAGCACAAAATAATTACAGCAGCAATGTGCAGAAGAAAATCCTAAAATTAAAATCTATGAAAAATACCCAAAAAATATCCATCTGTAAAACAAATTGTGGGTTATCCTGTTACACACACAATTAATATGCATTCATTTTGTACATATTTGGCAGCTAGCTTTCTTTTCTATTAAAATCTCTTCTAAAAGGCAATATGCTGACTTGTTGCCAGAGACAAGCTCTAACAGCTGCTCTTGCATCAAACAGTAACTGTACCTACACTGGCTGGCTAAGCAACAACTCCTAATCCTTTCCTGTTTGCTTGGGCACCTT